CATGGTAAAACCTGTCAACTCAAGAAAAGGCTCTCTAGATGGGTCGACACGTCGATGGGAAGTAGCAGAAAAGCAAAATGCACCTTTCTCCGTCGCGGAACTGCCCCCGAGTGATTCAGTCATAGTTGACAATATGGAGCCCCAACAGTACTCTTTCCCGTCCCTTCAATATGCAAATTCAAATGGCCAGGAGGAAACTCGTCACCCGCGGCGCGGCCTCGCTCGCCCGGCTTGTCAGCGCGGCAACCTTACCTTATATCCCCCATCACCCCACTGAGTATGCACTTGTTCACTATCCTAGAGTAGTGCTCCGCTCCGTGGTGTTCACGTCACACTGAGGACGACAACTGATACGACGTTTGCCCGGGAAACGAGCAAGAGAATCGTAAATAGCCGCTCCGTGGCGCGCTGGTCATACATTGTCCATTCTCGCCTAATTCCACATAAAATCGCCGTCATTGGCGGGCGCGACGTCGCACGCGATGCTCACTAGCACGGCGAATTATGATTCGCCTGCCACATACAGTTTGCCCATGTAATTGCGCTCAACTTGAACAATCGTTTTCGACTGCTCCTCATAACATCACATTAACATAAACACCATAAAATATAGAGCATCCATATTTATTAAGAGACTCACGACACAGTGAATATAAAGTTAAAAACGTATACCCGAAAGGAGCACAAAAACACCGGCGACTCTGTCTATCTCAACATCCACTGTCTTGAATTCCGGGAGTCTAGGGGACCGCAACCCATTACATTTTTCAAACTATAAAAGTTGTAATATCTGGGAGCTACGACCAAGAAGTTCTGGGTAGAAACAGTATGCTTACGCGCGGGAGTCCAGGAAAAAGTCTGGAAAATTTGCACTGGAATCGATTTGAGAAACGCAAAATGGAAGTTCTGAGGCGGCATTGAAATCATTGTATATGGTGTTTAATAAGTTAAATAGATAGGCGAAGACTAAAATTCCCAATTCCTGACAACTAAGGAACTCCCAGCAAACCATTCGACACCCACTCAGGACTCCGCCACCGATGCAGCTAGCAAAATAATAACATACAGAAATATGCTCTAGCAAAATATGTGAGATTCGCCACAAATTTAGCTGCGAATTCAATATTGTAGAAAATCTGAACCCATGAGGAACTGCAAGCCGTCAAACTAGTAGACGGACAGTGTACAGCTGTAGCGAAAACAGATTAGTACGACACAGAAGCCTAGCTCTCTGGAGGTCAACTCACGTCATGACCACCAAAGCCCTGACCGTCTCCTACAAGAAATGATTATGTTCCACTGATACGAACGATAGACCAAATGAACGGGGATTTGGGAACATCACAATTATGAAGATCACAACATAGGAAGCGTAAGCAATGAGAGGGGAGACGAAAACAATTCAATAACTAGAAATATTAGTGGTAATATATGAAAATTATTAATAAAACATATCCTAAAGCTACAATAAATAGAAGATGATGTAATAAGAAACTGAAAATGAAAGAAAACTTATTCGAATCAGTCTACGTTTGCGCGCGTAGCCGCAGGAAACAGTTCTGACAGACGCGAACAGGACGGGAAATCTTCATGTGCGTGATATGTGACTCGAACCGGCTGCATCTGTAACTTCGATTCATAATTCCCATGAAAAATCTTTGAAATATTTGAACTCAATTCAGTAATAAGATGAATCCGAAAGATTGTTTTCATAAGTGTTGTATTATGTAGATAAATATGAAGATAAAGATTTCATACTTTCTTCGATTCTATATTTTAGCTGAAAGATAAAATATTGAATCGAAGAAAGTATGAAATATTATTACGGTTTCAGGTAAGGCGCAGTTCGGCGGGGGTGGGGGCTAGCTCTGACGACTACACAATGGGTAGCAACAATAGTAATGGGCACAACACTCCACTGCGTTGTGTCGAGATGCTTTCTAGTGACAGCCATATGGTAACATCAAGAAACAAGGCGGGAGGACAGTTTGCATCATAGTAGTGCCAGAACAGTGTTGGATGAACTGCAGTGGAGGAAACGGGTTTTCCAACCAGGGAAGTCCGCCAACTTACCATGGAACTTCGAAGAGACCTGGGTAGATCGATAGAGTCTATAAGGTTATTTACAAATATAGATAGCAAAACTGCAACCTGCATTTCACAAGCAACTTATGAGCAGGTAAAGTTTGTAATGGTGCAGTAGGGTGGAGGCTTGGTGGTGAGCTGTGAAGCATAAGCGAGGAATCGCATACGTCGAATCGAGTCGTCGAACGTCGAACCTTACCACTGAACCACCACGACTCGATTCGACGTATGCGATTCCTCGCTTATGCTTCACAGCTCACCACCAAGCCTCCACCCTACTGCACCATTACAAACTTTACCTGCTCATAAGTTGCTTGTGAAATGCAGGTTGCAGTTTTGCTATCTATATTTGTAATATTATAGACTCTATCGATCTACCCAGGTCTCTTCAAAGTTCCATGGTAAGTTGGCGGACTTCCCTGGTAAGAGAATCAGCGGTATACTGCAACTTTTGTAGAGGTGGCAACATTTCCATTAATGAAGAAGGCAGGCCGTCAGCTGCGTTCTCTATCCACAAAAATGATGCCTCGCTAAAAAAATGCGCTCTGATGCGAAAATGCGTGCTTACAAAGAGCACTAAATTTACTTTCACAACTTAGCTGCGAGATGGATAATTCTCATGTGCAAACTTGGAGGATCCTCGCTGCGATATGTAGACACGTTTGTCACAAAAAAGGCAAGTAAAAGGAGCTGGAGTTGTGACTGCTGGATGTTTCCTCCGCCCGCAATGTGTACGCCACACGTTGCACATGTAGCCAGCTCTCCTGCAGGACATCGACGATCCCTTCGTCCACGTCCCGCAGCGAACGTGTTGGTAGGTTGCTAAAGTCGAGCTGCACTGAATAATAACGCCCAGCTATACATAATCCTACCATATATAATCCGCTAAGTATGTCTGTCTGTGTGTGTATATCTGTCTGTCTGTCACGAAATTCATAGCGACCGTCCCAGTTGCTGTAGGAAGTTGATTCCAAGCAGTGGTATAGGCTGTGACGGGAACATTATTGGTGGGTGACAGGGAAGGATATCAGCTGATAAGATCCGATAAGAGGCCTCAGAAGGGGAGGGTCACCAAATTCGTAACGCAGGTTACAGCAACAGTGGGACCTTGGATCCGAGAGGTGATATAGGGTGTGGGACGGGAACATTATTGGCGGGTGACAGAAAGTGATAACAGTTGATAAGATCCGATAACTCGGAAGGGGAGGGTCACCAAATTCGTAACGCAGGTTACAGCAACGGTGGGAGCGTGATTTCGAGAAGTGATTTAGGGTGGTATGATAGTGATATGGGACGGGATATTATTATTTGCGGGTGACGGAAATGATGGCGGGTGATGGGAAATGATAGGAGCTGAAAAAGACAAGTTATGGGAAAATCCGCTTCACCGCTCACAACAGCAATGCGATCGATATGACTCAAGTATAACGATCTCAATGATTCCAACAGAACTCATTCCTCACTGCTTATTAGTCATGTACGACCGCTAAGCTAGCTCTATTCCAAATGCATGGGGTTTGTTTACAGAGATGTTATGAACAGCAGCAACTTGACTTAATCACTCTTATCAGAACTATCTTCCATCAACAACCTCAGTGAGGGCCATTCAAAGCGTTGCACTGCTGAATTCGGGAGTGCATTTTAGAGCAAGACGCTCAAAGAGGGGGTATATTCAGCAGGATCCTTCAGCGGCATCTAACATGCTGCTCTATTCCCATGTAAGTTATAGTTATGAACGTACAAGTCGGATCGCTGACTAACGCCGGCGCTCCTTCTGTGATGCGGGGGGGGGAGGGCGCTGCTGCTGCTTCTGCGTCTTGACAAAACGGGCGCTGCTTTTCAGTTCTTGGCTGATGCAGAAGATTCCTTTGAACAGTGTGGTTGGTCAACGATCCGTAACTTAGCACGCAGCAAATCCGCCCGCCCGGCGAAGCCGGGCCATGTCACAGAAGGAGGAGCGCCCGGCGACAGCTGGGCGATCCGACTGGTAACATATAGGCAGCATGTGCGGCTATGGTTGGACGTATGGCTGCTTATGAGGCGCGTTGTGTGTTCCTAGTTACCCTGCCACAACTCATTGTTAGAGGTGTTGTTGAATGAACAGTATTCAAATTGATTTTCAGGATCTATTTTGAACAATACGATTTCGTATTGCCTGTCGTCTGCTCGCCGCATAGAATGGTGAGTGGAGACGTGCAGAACATCAGTCACAATCTTCTTCGCTTTTAATTTTCGCGCACTCGCGATTTCAAAGGAGTGCATCTTTACGACTACAGACATCCCCACCAGGGCACATCATTAGTTAAGGGATTCGGTCGAGTTCGTAAGACCCCCCTTTTTGAGTGTTGGTACGACGACCCCCCCCCCTCCAGCCCTCCGTCCTTGCTCATCGAGCTGTCGAGCGCGGGTGGGGAAAGTGGGGTAGATAGCACATGCGAAACGGGAAAAGCCGCAAGAGAAATACGACACCCCCCCCCCCTTCTATCAATTCCCGAATTTTCCCCACTTTTCCAAAACTTCCCGAGAATTTCCTATCTTTGCGCAAAAATTTTGCTGTCGAGCGGGGGTGGGGTATATAGTACGCATGAAACAGGAAAATCACGAAAAGTCAACCACCTCTCCCAGAAGGCCAGAAAGTGAGCAGAAAATAAATACGATCTCCCCCCTCCCAACAACGTGCAAATACGACCCTTCTCCTACAACGTGGCGAGAAAAATCAACCCGGCGACCAAATACGACACCCACCCCCTGTTGGGGATTCTGATTCCCCAACAACGATGTACCCTGATCCCCAGTTCACATATTGAAAGGATTTGCTTTTTAAGTGTTCGTACAGCGTGTCTTCGAATTAACTTCCACGATGAAAACAATTGGACTTTTTTTCGATGCTTCTTTGCAAATCAGTCTTATGTAACCTACTTGGCACAGAAAATCTGCCCGCAATTTCTACAATGGTGCTTCCGATCGGCTATGGAGAACTTATGCTGGCACTGTGTACATCTTTGCCTTGATACATCCTGAAAGAAATTATCAAATGATTAGGTGTTCAAATCCAAGAAACCCAAATGCAGCTCTTTGCTGGGAGCCAAGCACAACCATGAAGGTAATGTGTTGAGGGTCGCATAAGTTTGTGAAAAATGCAAAAGAGAAGGTCGAGAGCAGAACAGCAGAAACTCCGCCAAAGAGACGCCTTCCAGATTAATGACTAACCTGGACCCAATGATCGGCACGACCACCATCTTCACCTGCCTGCCAGCACCATACTCTTCCGATACCGTCACCGACCAAAAATGATTTGTGATCTCTGAAATTGGTTATTGCAGGTGTTCAGTTCTATGCAAAAAGGCGATAAAATAGGTTCAGGGCTGTGATCCTCACTTGCTCGGCGTCAAGCAAGTGATTGGAGCTGGATGGGTATTGTCCGGCCTGTTGAATGCTGTATGGACGGTTAAAGCAGCTCGCTGCATAAGAACTCGCACATACTGGGGACAAACGGTCTTGTCTCCATCAATCACTCCTGTGAAAGAAATAATACGGTCCTGGGAGAACAAAAAAAAGGTAGAGTACCTACCTTGAGGTTGCATTCCACTTGTTATTGGACTGGCAGGTGGTTCAGGGCTGTGAGCCTCACTTGTGTCCTGACTTCCGCTCACCTTGAGACGGCGACGCACGCGATCCAATCGCGCATGAACACTTGCAGATGAAGACGTGCCTTGCTTCCTGCGAAGGGGTACAGGTATCTTCTAGCTACATAAATATGATAATGACCGGTCACATATCCCAACATTTTTACAGGTCACGGAACCTAATCGGAACAGATTTCAGATACAAAAAAGACCGGTCTCCGAACTAAAGTTATAGTTTAGAATGCTGTGCCCACCTTCCTGCAGCCGCTATAATCACAAAATTTCAAGGAACGTCATGACGAGGAAACCCAGAGTCTTCCTTACTCTGCTTAACCTATCCCAGAAAGGATTCTTCAAAAGCTTGAATTGAAAACCCTCAGGGACGCAAACGTACACTTGCGGTTCGATATGCGGCGCTTCAACGGATCCGTCATTCTCCACCATTACACAAGAATAGATCTTCACGACACCATCACTCGTTCCACAAACGACCACGTTGTCTGTGTCCCACTCATTCATCTGCAATGAAGAGCTTATTCTGATCCTATCAGAAAGACAACCAGCTTGCATCAAGGCTAACATACCGTACTAAAAGTGAGACTAAGGATCATTTGGGACGGATCCATGATAAGGTTCGAATCGCATGTGTTCACTACAGCCAACAGTTCGCCATTAATTGACCACAAGTGCAGTAATGTCGAGCAAGATGTTGCAATATCTCCCTGAACGCAAAAGAACAAGGTGAACATTTTCCAGGGTGCTATTCGGTAATTCGGTTTTACCGTCGTGTCGTTGACGGCTACAGCCGACACAGGGCTCGGATGTGGTGGGAGTTGACGAATAAGATACAGCTCGGACTGATGCCACAAGATCACTGAGCAATCTCGGCTAGCTGACACAACAAAAGCGTGGGCAGAACAGACAACCTGAAAATGTTCAATTGGAAGAACATGTACAAAACTAATAAACTTTTCACACCTTCTAGAATAGGCAGAATTGAAGATGAGCTGTAAGTTCCGCCCCATTTCAATTCCCCATTGCAAGCAAAATGACCTCAGACCCTCAGGGCACACAACGGGGATTCCCAACAGCAGAGGTCGTACGGACTCGAGCAAAAATCAGGTCGTTTTCTCCGATAGAAAGAAGTGTTATTTATACAAGTTGAACTCGTAGGGCAGAGGAGTTCATATAGCACGACCCCAGGAAGTTTCGTGTGCTTTACAAAAGCAGGCATATCCACTCAGGACATTTGGCGCTGTTCGGCTTGCGAGGAGCATTCTGTACTTTTGCTAGTTACTTCTGCTGGTTCAAGTTAAGTAATAGGTCTCATTTTGGAGGAAACTGTAAAGTTTTGTGGAACTGAGAAATCAATGTGAGTCACCTCGGTTACAACAATTTACACTTCCTAACAAGGGACCTAGAGAGGGTTCGCTGGGCACACTGCACTGCACTTGCACTGGGTGCCCCTACCAAGCCGATCTGTGCGGAAATTCATCATTCGACCACTTCTAATGGAAGCACCGATAGTTTCTGCAGGAATTCTAGAACTACAGGGTCTAGTGGAGTTCTCAACCAACAGTAGACCATCGATCCTGTTTCAATGCCCATCTATATTTATCAACTACACTACCTGTACCTCTTTTGATTCCATCAAATATAACAACTGACCAGACATGTCACAGCATCTGAATGTCCATCAAGCAGCTTCCGCCTTTTCAGCGAGATCGGTTTCCGACATAAAGTCCAAACACTGAAACAAATGAAAATCTTACAGAGAAGTTCTCCTTCGAACAACTTTTCTACATAGAAATCTGACAAAGAAAGGATCCCAGGTCGGAGTAGTGTTCTGTAGTGAGAAATATGCCACCGCAGGTGCTGTTGGATGTTGGATTCGAAGCTCTTTTTAAAACACGTAAAAAAAGTTCTGCAGAAAAATGATACTGTGAAAATTCTTTCCACGTTCGTCAAGAGTGCCTGTTGGTGAGCGCAAATATTCTGCGGCGGTTGAAGACAGCGCCTGCGATCGGTTTTGCAGGTCTCAGGGGTCAGATTTGTTAGAACAGGTGGCAAGTGAAGCATTAATCAAAAAAGTAGGAAAAAGGGCTGCAAGAACATGGAATAAGACCCTATTCGATTTAAGGCATCTGGACGAGTTTCGCAGATTTTGGGTGAGTTCTCCAAAACACGTCGCCGCCTCGTTGCGGCTAATTCTCATGAGGCCACTACCTAGGTTATCTTATCTAATCTAATTAATCCACGCTGGCATTGATAATCGATCTGTCTATGAGTTAATCTCTCTATCAGTGTACGAAACAAACGCTAGAAATTTAGCGATTATCAATGCCAGCAAGGATTGATAACTGTTAACCAGTCGGGGCGGGATTAACAGGACAGGCGGCGTCAGCTTAGCATTGTTGACTCCGCCTTCGTCAATCAATCGATTTCGAGCCGCAAGAGTGGGATATCCGCTGTGGTTGCGGACTCCGCGATCTTGTACAGTACAGGGTTTTTTCACTTTGGTTGATCGCGGACGCTGCCTTTAAGCGGTTATAGATGGGTGCTCGAAGGATCGACATTCATATACAAGATAATCCCCTTGCCACTTTTTTGACCCTTTGTTCCTATGTGTGCGTATAGTGATTTGCCACAGCGATTTTTATATATTTATTTTAACCAGTCTGCTTACTGATAGTTTCTCCTTTACTCCCTTTTTAAGTTCCGACTACGAGCTATCACAAGAAAACGTCGGCGACACGAGCCGTCGTTGCTCAAATGATTCACAAATCCGTGCCGCTGGTGTTGGGTTTCAAAGATCAGTTTTTGCATGTTTTGAAGAGAGAAGGAAGTACGGTATGTCCCCACAGTCTACTAACCAGCAGCTAATTTCCGTATTTTTTTTTGGACTGAGCATACACACTGCTGGTGCTCCAAGCCAAGCACGTAAGGCGCGTTCATAGCTTGCGTTCGTGAAGAAATGCAGAAATGCGGAAAATGCAGAAGTGCGGAATCTGCAGAAAAGCAATAGATACTTATCGACTTGAAGAAATGCAGAAATGCCGAAACTGCAGAAGTGCGGAAAGTGCAGAAATGACGAAAAGCATTACATACGTATCGATTTGAAAATGCAGAAATGCCGAAAGTGAAGTGCGGAATCTCCAGTGTATGCCTCATAATGCCGAAACTGCAGAAGTGCGGAAAGTGCAGAAGTGCGGGATCTGCAGAAAAGCAATAAATACTTATCGACTTGAAGAAATGCAGAAATGCCGAAAGTGAAGAAGTGCGGAATCTGCAGAAATGCCGAAAGTGCGAAAATCGATACGTATCGGTTGCTTTTCTGCACATTCCGCACTTTCGGCATTTCTGCAGATTCCGCATTTCTTCACTTTCGGCATTTCTGCATTTCTTCAAATCGATACGTATGTAATGCTTTTCGTCATTTCTGCACTTTCCGCACTTCTGCAGTTTCGGCATTTCTGCATTTCTTCAAGTCGATAAGTATAGGTTGGAAAGAAAGTCCTGTCACTGTTGTGATTTTTTTCTTTTTTATTTTCTAACTCAACATGAAATAAAAACTAATCAATAATATAATCGCCATTGTTAGCCACTACAGTGCTCCACCTAATGGGCAACTCAGCTATCCCCTTCTCCCAGAACTGAGGAGGCTGCGAGTCGAAGAAGTGGGCAACTTCTCGATTGATGCCATCAAAATCGCTGAAGGTTTTCTTACCTAGGAAAGCCTTGAGCCGGCGCGCCCGAGCCGGAACAAGTAGTAGTCGGAGGGGGCTAGGTCTGGAGAATATGGTGGATGGGGAACGGTCTCCCAGCCTAGCTCCTCAATTTGGCGGTGGGTCTCTTTAGCCACATGTGGTCTGGCGTTATCATGGAGGAGGTGCACCGAAGCTCGTCTCGGCCGCTTTTCTCGAACAGCTTGCGCGAGTTTCTGGAGTTGGGCAGCGTAAACGGTAGCGGTGACCACTCATGCCCTTGCGGAAGCACTGATGGGTGCAGCATGCCCTTCGACATCAGAACAGAGCAGAGGCAAGGACCTTCTTGGAGTGCAGGTTCGATCTGGGTTGCGTAGGCGGGTCTTCTCCTCGAGGGAGCCACATGGCACGACGTAGGTTGGAATCATAGAGGACCCAGCTTTCATCTCCAGTCACCATATCTTCCAGAAACTCCTTCCGGTTACGGTGTAGAAGGAGGGATCGACAGATGCTCACCCTGGCATACCGCGTGCCATCTGTTAGAGCATGAGGTATCCATCGCGTGAGGACTTTTCTGTAGCCAAGGGCCTGAAGGCGGTTTAGAGCTGTTGTATGGCTACACCCTAGCCTTGTCGCAATACTGCGCGTGGTAGCCTCTCGCGATCCCTGCTGACAGGTTCGAGAACGGCGGAATCTTCTACACCGCGAGGGCGTCCCAGACGAGGTTTGCCTTCGAAGATCGTCTCTCCTTTCGCGAAGCGAGCGAACCAACGGACAGTCCTGACGGTGGTGGTGTCCTCCCCCAATGCACAGTTGATGTTACGGGCCGCTGCCGTCGCTCCAGTGCCGCGGCGCCACTCATAGAAGATGATCACTCGAAGCTGCTCCAGTGAAACTGACATCATAAATAAACACAGGGAAGAGCAGGAGCCTTGATATACCTCCTTGTGGAAAAGCTTCGAGAATGTTCTACAACCTTAGCATGTTACGTCATGTTCGAGCTCCAAGATCAAAAACTGTAGGCTATCTAAAAAACACTGACAGGACTTTCTTTCCAACCTATATCTATTGCTTTTCTGCAGATTCTGCACTTTCCGCACTTCTGCATTTCTTCACGAACGCAAGTTATGAACGCGGCCTAGGCGTTACGGGATGGTAACGTATTGGGTCAGCAATGGCCAACCGTGTCCTCTTGTGGATGCAGAAAACTTGTTACTATTCATTAATGTCATATATCAAGACGTGGAACATTCATAATTCCATTCAGAGAATCATTCGTCAAGACCAGAAACGGCATACGGAATAAGCATCAGAAAGTTAACCTTGAAATCACATACGTCTCATTACAAACACCTCCGACAGAGGATCCTTTCCAGTAGTGTGGGAGGGAGAGAGAGCGAATAGGAGAGAGAGAGACGAGAAGAGAGATGAAGAAGAGAGGAGAGAGACGAGAGAGATGGATGAGAGAGAGAGAGATGAAGGGGAGAAGAGAGAGAGAGAGAGAGAGCTGAATACGAACCTCACACATCCAGTGCTACTGCCACAGAACAACGTGCGATCATCACCGCTTGCCACGCATGTCAACTCATCAGCGTCGCACATTTCATGAATGCAGGATGACTGTAATAAGGCAAACATCAGCCAAGAAAAGCGTTAGCGCTCAGTTTGCTGCAAGTTTTTGAAGAGGAAGCAAAGTACGTAGGTTCCCACAGTCTACTGACCAGCAGCTAATTTCGTATTTTTTTGGACCGAGCATGCACACTGCTGGAGCTCCAAACCAAGCACGTAAGCGTTACGGGACGGTAGCGTATGCTGGGTCAGCAATGGCCAACCGTGTCCTCTCGTGGATGCAGAAAACTTGTTACTATTCTTTAATGTCATACAAGACGTGGAACATTCATAACTCCATTCAGAGAATCATTCGTCAAGACCGAAAACGGCATTCGGAATAAGCATCAGAAAGTTAACCTCGAAATCACATACGTCTCATTACAAACACCTTCGACAGAGGATCCTTTTCCAGTAGTGTGGTGAGAGAGAGAGAGAGAGAGAGAGAGAGAGAGAGAGAGAGAGAGAGAGAGAGAGAGAGAGAGAGAGAGAGAGAGAGAGAGAGAGAGAGAGAGAGAGCTGAATACGAACCTCACACATCCAGTGCTACTGCCACAGAACAACGTGCGATCATCACCGCTTGCCACGCATGTCAACTCATCAGCGTCGCACATTTCATGAATGCAGGATGACTGTAATAAGGCAAACATCAGCAAGAAAAGCGTTAGCGTTTCAAGTGTAACCATTATTTGAATATTGCCAATTGCTATTCAATCGCACCGATCTATTCCACTTATTCGGTTTGATTAAAAGCGAGTTAGGACACACTGTTCTCTCAAAAAACAAATTCCTTCATGGCTTCTATGTTTCGAATTTCGCTGAGCCGGACACTACTTGCAACTCGAGGATGATCGCTGCACTGAAGTGATCCAAAGTTTTTATACATATACAAGGTTTTACATTTTGATCCGCAGCCTAATGTGTGGAATCGCTTCCTTGTACTAGTAAGCGGGATACGCAATCGCGGAGCACCGTCATTGGATTGAAGGCGCTTCATATACAATGGACGCCTCTGCGACCAGTCGACAGTCATCACGATATCCGTGGCGTCGTTCGACTCTTGGTTCCTTTGTGGTAACCTTCAACTTTTCCTACTTCGCAAAAGAGAACATGTGTTCATCAGAGATAGCATTCCCTACCTACAGTCGAGCTTGCTACCCCTAACTCTGGAGCGATTAAACAACGGATGACGATTGTATAGCAGATGAGATTCTCCTAAACGCCTTCATGATGATGGGGAGGTGGCGATAGTCATCATGAATGCGTCTTGGTCTTCTCAGTCTTTTTAAGACGACAACACGGTTGAACACAGAACACCATGGCGTCCTGTTAATATATCTCAGGGTCAACGTTGAAAATTTTCTAGTGCAAGAAAATCACAAGGGCGCTATACTGCCCTTACGTGGGCAGACGGCAATGGATTTAGTTTCTGTCTCGGAACAATGTAGTAGGCCTAAGAATGTATAAGGAATAGAGGAATATCTACCGTCTTGTCACTCCCTGGCACTCACCTTATCTGAATCGATCTGGCCCATGCGAATTGAACGATCAGGATAACCCCATGCAATGTATCGATTCGTACCGATCAACACCTTATTCTGCTCTAAAGCTATGAGTCCAGCACGTTCACTTTGGTAGATTGATCCGATGGCAGACCGAAGCTCTAAACAAAATAAACAAAAGCGCTCAAAAGAAAAAAAAACAAAAGCAGAATTAGCTGAGGAACGACAAACCTTTTATAGGATTTTGTGGGGGTTTCAGGGAGTGAAGGCAATGATAGAAAAGTCGCTGAGTTGTAACACCGGGAGTATTCGAAAAGCCATCCACTGGACTGACCTATAGAAGAAAAAGTTTCATGTCCTGCTGAAGACGTTAGAGCTGTAATAATGCTACAAAATCTTAAGAAATTTGAAAAGCAAATCAGGGAATCAGTGAACGAAAGGAAAACTCATCCTCATACCAACATGTTGACTTAAGGACAAGACCCTTTATTCGTTTATTTTCCAAAAACGAAAATAAAGATCCATGTGAGGAAGTTCAATATTAAGCCTAATAGCATGGGAAGCACATTCTCCATGAAGCGGATCCGGGTGGCGGGAACACAAGCTCCTAAGTACTGAACTGCGCCCTAGTGAAAAAAATAGAGGAGAAAATCTCTTTTCAAAAAACAAAAACCGAATCAGACCACCCTTTCTGCGGTTGAGTCCGTGCCTTGTGAAAACTTACGACAAATTAACTACGAGCGCGCAGACGAGAAACAGAGGGCGCAACATCGCGGATGCAGTCCAATGCCTGGCGGATAACTTACTAGGAGCTTGTCAGAGTCAGCGGATAAATAACGTCGTCTCGGAGCTCCACTTGCCTCAGCAGTGCCGAATATTGTCGCTATTTCACTTAAGTCCCAATAAGATTACCTACAAATACAAGGTGTTGCGACTGAGCCTCGAAAACAAATTCGCAAGAGGGTAACGACAACGACTGCACTGAGCTGCTTATGCCTCTGTCCCACCGTGCGATACTCTTCTAGTAAAACTGCTTGATTTAAATTTGCCATATGATGGTGTTATGTTATGTTCGTAGTCAACAGCTGGAATCTCTTCGAGGGACTTCCCTAGTCTAGACCCACTGAGCATTGTCTCGGTCAGAGCGCGTATGGCCAGCAGCACGTTCGACTGTCTGCACGCGTATCAGGATCCTTGTCAACCGCAAATCTCCGTCCTTCTTCTTTTTTTCTCCCCTTCCCTCTTTTTATTCCTTTCTTGCCTCTTCCTTTTCCTTATCTCTTCAACAGCTTGGCCTGTAGATGCGATAGGAAAACACCTCTGGACCCTCGCCGCAGGAGCATGTCCGACAGAAGCTTTGTACCGTCCGTACAGGATGGTGAATAGTGAACAGAGATGGAAACTACATCAAGCGATTGATTACGAAACCTAGCTTCCCTGCTGTGGGGAAAGAAGGTACTTCTGCAGCTAAAGATCTGCACCACTTTCACACAAAAGGCACACCATATATGAATAGTGATATGATAATTGAAGGCAAAATTAAACAGCACGATGAAGGAGGGAATTTCAGATATTGAAGAAAGGGTACCCAATGACCAGTCGTTGGAGAGAAAAAGCAGAAGGAACGCTCTGGAACAAGAGGAAGAATTACCTTCTTCTGTGGATGAGGCTTCTTGAACAACTGAGAAGGAATCTGTCCGAAATTGTTCACGAAACCTGAATATAATACGATTTCGCTGTTTCTGCGCCTCTTCCAACAACATATGAGAAGATTTCGATCACTGGATAGTCACTGATAAGCTTCTGGCAGATACGCAGAATCAGCTTTTATGACTTATATTTTTAAGCAAAATGCAAAACACCATTAACACGAGAGGATGTTGGTCTATGCCGATCATAAGTAGTAAAAGGAGACCTAATCGTACTCTCGTAAGCAGAAGCAGGGCCATTGCAATGGCAAGCGTTTCCACTTTGCAGCCCTCCCAACCCCCGATTCATTTTTAGCTCGTTATACCGCCTTTTCGCTGCGGTTGATGGGACGTGTCAGTGGGTCGAGGCTTTGCGCACCGCCAGCTCGTTTTTTCAGTATTTGTTGAAACGAGAAAGTTAAACTGTCGGAAAACGACTGATACGAACTGTATGACACTGAACTGCCGCTTACTCGCTTTCACACGTGGTGGATAACGGGTATGGCGCCGCACTAAAGCCTTCCCTCCTGGCACAACCCTTCATCCAGTGAGCAGTACGGTAGCTGCACGAAAGTAGGTGTCTTGATCAACCGCGGACTTGAGGGAAGATACGTTTTTAACAAACGTGGAGGAGAACTAGCTGATGCAGGCACATTCTCACAGAGCAAATTTTTTAGGCAAACTAGGCAATCACCGCTTAGTCAAAAAAGTTGTGAATGCATCCATCATCTTTTTGACTAAGGGGTGATTGCTACGGAAGTGTTTGGAACTGGGTCGATGAAAAGACGGGGGATGTACCAGTTTCCATCAGGAAGCCAAGAAAGTACTGGAATAACTTCTGGGGACAAACACGCGAAATAGTGAAAGGTATCCCGTTTTTTTAGACAGACGGTTTCAGTTCTCCCTTAATACTGACGCTGAAAAAGCCGCATAGCCACCCTATCCTGAAGCTTTTCTTACGAAATATTGCGTGCTGTTGTATTTTGTGTGAAGGCTTCTGAAAGAATTGTTTCGTTAAGTTCCCACGCTATCGCAACGAGTGAAATTTTAGTTTCACAGCAGTCAGAAGGAGCGCAAATATAATATTTAACCAACCAAGAACGTACCTATGGTAGCGTTTCGCGTCAAAGGATCGATAATCGATTCAAAATCTACACTGCCTTCGTAGAACAGATGATGGAAGAGGTTGTTAGCCTGAATGTTCAAGGTGGTCTTGTGAGATATAAATGTCAAAATAGTCTGAGGCAAACCTTAACGGCTTCATCGCCATTCTGTTTATACCCGAAAACCAAATCAATCCATTCATGGAGGTGGGAAGACACGTAATCGCATTCCAAAGCTTGACGGTGAAGCCTGTAAATCAGCTAGTTCTCCAGTCACAAATAGATACGAAAACTCTTACTTACTGAATAGTTGACTTTTTGAGAAAACGTAATCGTGACAAGAGCGTTGAAGCAAACATGAGACCTACCGAACGAATTCCCTTGCATCGCCATGGGCCCAAGGAGGAAGAACCACATCATCCAACACAACTCCGTTCTGTTTTGTTTGACACCAAAATCAAACTTATTCTTGTTCTGAAACATTGCGCAGTTATTGAGGAACTGCGCGGGTATAAGTTCGGCAAGCCAGACGCACAAGTAACCCATCTATGCGCATTAACTTGAAAAATCAGCCGACTAGGCACGTCCACGGCACTACAGATCCCGAAATGTTTTTGCCAGAGGCGAGCCATGGTGTGAAAATAGCCCACTGATACTGTGATGACCAACTTGGTGAATGAAGGAGAAAGAGGATCGTAATTCGCCGCACCGCCACGCGCGGCGATGAGCACCGCCACGCGCGGCGATGGGCGCGGCGTTTTCATAACTCGTTTTAACCTGTCGAATGAAGCACCGGACTTCATGTAGACCCCGTCATCGTAGACACTCATTACTGTTTTCGGTCCTTAATTGCATGTTGTCGCCATCTACTGCCTGAAACCATCGTCCTTTGCGGGCGGGACGTCGCACGCGACGCCCAGCCGGCGAAGTACGATCCTCTTGTCACACACCCGTGTATGAAAACATCAATAAACGACTTTATGAGATCCTCATCTAAGCTCAGTTCGTTTAAAGCGCAGCTCCACTTCTGTCTATGAGTGTTGCCTGACAAACAAAAAAAAACTCACCAGCAACAATTCTGGTAACACAAAAAATTCTGGTATCAGCTCTTTCACATCAGCCATGTTGTTGCGGCTTGCGCTGATCCAAGCATCACCGATACTATGGAACATTCTATCCGCGAGATCAAAGTGGCCACCCTTTAAGAAGAAAAATCCACATTCTATGTGATCGAAAAGGTTTTAGAGCGATATAAAAAATTCTGAACATGTAAATGATCTACAATTATCCCTAGCAAGCAATCAGATCTCACCTGAAGACTGAGGAATTGTTGAGTGAACGGTTCTAGCCGGACTAGGTATGAAACAACAATCATGGCAGAAGAGTAATGAGTACCGTACATGTACGGAGGCGTTTCTCCAGTAGGATCGTCCCATTCTCGATACCTGCGACATCAGCAAACCTTAGCATGACAAAGGAGATAGGAAGGAATGGGCTACCTCTTCAAAAATTGCTCGAGCCTCTGTGGATGTTGCGCACCCATCGGTTTTGACAAATCACGGAACGTCTTCGGATTTGTGAAGTCCAAATTCGACGATGTGTAGTCTGCCAGTACCCATGGCAATATTGGATACTGCGACAAATCGTTGTAGGACCTGAGTTTACCATGTAAAAGATCTCATATAAAACTGGGCGTTATTTCATTTGGATTTACCTTCCTGCCAAGGTGTTCAGATGTATGAGATACTGGAAGTTAGTGATTTGCCCATTCAACCATCTCTGTGTCACCGACTGTTGACCTTAAAACAGCAAACTTCAACTTCCAAAAGAGATCAAAGAAGACATCTTGAGTTGAAGTTGGATTCACTCCAGGTACGTTGTACACCATGATATCCCCATGCGGCCAAGATGGACTGGCAAAAAACAGCATCACAATATAATGGCGGTAATGAAGACAGGGTGGAACTGCGGGAGGGAAGGGGGGGGGGGCGGAGGTTAAGCCTCTTCCTTAAAAAAGGCTGAAACTCAGCAGAGCAAACGACTCGAGTCTCCACGGTCTAGCCTCGCAAAGGGTCATAGCTACCTCCCGAACGGCTTTAATTCACAGCATGAGTACCAGGGCACCATCTTTGTGATGATCACAACGAGGAGGGTCGTATTTGACCGCGAGGGAGGGGGGGGAGGGGTCGTATTTGGTCGTTGGTGGGAGAAGGAGTGTCAGAGATCTATACATCTATTAGTTCAAACAGTTGAAAACGATAGTTGAATCTAATCTTGCTGTAATGGGTAGAACGGCGAAGCTCTTCTTTTCATTGAATCTTTATTAGGTGACAACGTTTCGGGCATAAGCCCTTCTTCAGGTCACTCGATCTTAAATCACAGCATTTGCCCTTACAATGTTACAGCACTAATAGAGTGAACATAGCAACAACCCACACTGTGTAGAAGGGAGAAGGAGCACAAACTCCGTCAAGCATTTAAC